TCGCATTCCGCTGTCGCTGCTTGGGTGCCCGACAGCATTGCCACCGCCTCTGCAGGTCTGCAAAAAGACCAGAGCGCAGGGATCACAGGGACTCAGGGGACATCATAGGCGGTATAGAGGCCTTGACGGGGAGCCCAGTCAAGTCCACATAGGGTCACGGGGACTGTCACTGGTAACAGGAGATCATGGAGACAATAAAAGGGCCCTGGGGCAAACCGGAAATTCTCTTAGAAGTTACTCACCTACACAAAACTTTCCAGAGCGGTGGATAGGCAGCGTCAAGTGCACCCGGGATTGGGGAACCTCGGCTTTCCGACTAGGGTAACAGAAGAAGGGATCCTCTGAATAGAAAAGAAGTCTGCTTCAAAATGACCCAGGACAGGCACGGGAATCCTCAGAGTCCTCTCCCCAGGAAGCAAGGGACTCTCACGTGAGGAGGTGAGCAGGAGACTGACATGTAATCAGCGCCTTCGTTTTCCAGGTCCACTGGTTTATATACAGCCAAGCAGGTCTCACTATTCCCCGTGTACAGAAGTGGAAAACAGGCTGAGAGAGGCCAACGGCGGCTGGTAGGAGTCTGGGCTCGTATGATTCCCATCTCCAAGTTGGGGTAAGAATCTTAGGCTAGAGAAATCGCGGAGGGATCCTGAAGTCCGAAAGCCATTCTCCCTCCATCTGACCCATTCGTATGCACTTTAGCCCCTTGAAGAAGCAGGCTCTCTGCCTCCCACCTCTGGGATCGAGTGGACACTCACTTGCGCCGGCCCGCGGACGAACAAGCTGATCAGAGCCGACCGGCAGCCGAAGGTAATACACTAGGAACTTTCAAATCCTGGGAGTAGAAAATCAGCCTATCACCGGCCGGATCTTTAAATTTTCCAGCCAGTCAGAGACAGGGGCGTGACAATGGGCGTGTCTTTCTCTGGGTTTTAACCCTCCGAGCTTGGGCAGTACCAATAGCGCACCGAAGGAAGGAGGCTTATAGTGGTGGCGGAGCATACCAAGTCGGGTGGACGAGTGGGCGTGGTGGGAGAGGGTAGGGACTGCAGCTGGGCGGCTCGTGGTTTCTTGTCACCCATGGAATCTCTGAAGATTAATTTTCAGAACCATGCCTGCAACACACTCTCCCTCCCCTCTAGCTCTAACACAGCGGCTGAACTTGGCCTTGGGGAAGAATTGCCTCTGATCTCTCCTATCCCTGTTTACACTCACAGGACCTTTGCCGACTTTTGGGCAGACCCCTCCCACGGCCTGCCGCTCCAGCTGCCTGCGCCTCTCCCTGCCCCACTCGCCAACTCTTTCCATTTGTAAGCATCGTTACACGAATTTGCCTTTCCCACCAGGCTGAGGCCCTTCAGTGAGGAACTGAGACCTGTGGCCAGGTGCTCAGAGTACAAGGGAAGTGTGTGAGCCTCTGTCTTCAGGGAATTCGTAACCTTGTCATCGCACTGGATGCTTAGGGAAATTATTTTTAATTATCTTTTTCCTCCTCATTAAAAGTCTTGGAATGACATAGCTGGAAGGGATCCTATGTCAGTCA